CCAAGCAAAGTGCCCAAGAAAGCAAATCTTAAATAAAAATAAGTTTACAATTTATGTAATTTTTTAAAAAAGGATTTGTTTATTTTTATGTTACGGATGTATTTTGCCTGTGTGTATATATGAATGTGCCCCATGTGTATTCAGTGACCCAAGAGGCCAAAAGAAGTCATCCGACCCCCTGGATCTGTAGTTACAGCTGTGAGGTACTCTTGTGGGAGCTGAGAATTAACTCAGGTCCTCTTAGAAAGCAATAAGTGCTCTTAACCATTGAATCTTTTCTCTAGTCCTTAAATCTATGTGATTTTTATTCTAAACAATTATACAACATAGTAGCCTAACACACAAATAGTGTGTTAACTATTCAAGTATTAACCATTAACTAATGGGGTTGACTTATCCATGGTCCTTGGCTAATACATTTATATGAAGACCATCAGTCAATGATGAACATTCTTATTATGTTAGGTATGTATGTTAAAGGGAAACAATGACAAGAAAAAGAAACTATCTTATATGCAATTTCCCCAGGCTCTACAATAGAAATAATAACAAAATACCTAAAACCAAAACTCTTAACCATCTTAATTTAAAAAACTATTCTTGACTGTGGCCACACTACCTTGAACGTGTATCAACTGAATCGCTATTCTTTAAAGTGGTGAATTGCTTGTTTTAAATCTTGACACAGCCGGGTGGTGGCGGCGCACACCTTTAATCCCAGCACTTGGGAGGCAGAGGCAGGTGGATTTCTGAGTTCAAGGCCAGCCTGGTCTACAGAGTGAGTTCCAGGACAGCCAAGACTACACAGAGAAACCCTGTCACGAAAAAACCAATAAATAAATAAATCTTGACACATGTGGAGGTTTGAATAAGAATGGCCCCCATAGACTCATAGATTTGAATGGTTTGGTCACCAGGGAGTAGCATTATTAGAAGGTGTGGCTTTGTGGGAGAAAGTGTGTCACTATGGAGTTGGGCTTTGAGGTTTCAGATACTCAAGCCAGGCCCAATGTCACTCTCTCCTTGCTCCTTCAGTCCAGATGTAGAACTCTTGGCTCCTTCTCTAGCACCATGTTGGCCTGTGTGCTGCTGTGCTTCCAGCCCTGATGATTATGAACTAAACCTCTGAACCTATAAGCCAGCCCCAAAGAAAATCTTCCTTTATAAGTGTTTCCATGGTCATGGTGTCTATTTACAGAAACCCATGTTTCTATTACAACATGCAAAAGGTTAAGAAAGCACAAAATACTTCTTGAATAATACCTTAGGAAATAGTATTCCCTCAAAGGAAAATGGTATTGATGTATTCACAGTCTCTGAAAACAAGAAACAAACATTATTAGTCATTTTAGGTGATTTTTTAAAAATATAAAGTCTAGTTTTCTAGAATGTCCTTACTAATATCAGAAGCATTTCTGAGAAAAAAAATATAGAGAAATAACCCCCATACTCTATTTATTCTCCTCCTATACCAGCCTCAGTGCCCTACACGAACACTCAGATATGCAAGCACCTCTCCCTATACCAGCCCATATATCATCTCCTAGGGCATCTGAGTTTTTAAGACCTGTCTCAGTGAATTGAAGAAAATATGCATGAAACTAGATTATATATGTGCATGTCTTTTAGATATATTGCTGCCCCTATAGCTGGGTATAACAGATAAGAATTTCTCTAGATGCAGGAAAAATGTTTCTTTTTGCTTTGTTTCATTTCTCTTTTCAGTACCACTGAGGATTGACCCTGAGGCCTCATGCATACCTGGCACAATCCCATCTGAACTATATCCCCCTCGAGAAGGTTCAAATACAGATAGAATACTTACACTCTTTCCAATCACACCACCAAGAAGCCTAAGAATTTTGCCTCTATTTCAACAAGCGGCCATGGGGCTGGCCCTCCACAAGTCACCCAGCATAGATGCAGATAAACAAGAAAAACCAGACAACAAAATAGTGAACTTGGGGTAGAGGTGAGGTCAGAAAGGTATACATGTTTAAATGTCAAACAATAGAAATAGTGGCAAAATTGTGCGTGCACATGTGCACAGCCATCAAAGTGGGTTCATAAGACAACTTATGGTAGTCACCTCTCTTCCTCTACCAAGAAGGTTCCAGAAATGAAATTCAAGCTATCAGGCTCTGCAAGATGGCAAGCATGTTTACCTAATGGACCTTCTCACCAACTTAGTTGTTTTTCTTAGGTGGTTTTTTTTTTTTGAGTCAGGATCTTCCTGTGTAGCCCAAGATGGCCTCAAATTCTCAACCTTCCTATCTCAGTACATTAGGCATGAAGACAATAACAAGCTGGAATGTCTTGAGCTTTAGTAAACTTATATTATAAAATATAATACATTTGGGGTTACAGTCTTAGAACAAAGAACCACCCAGCGAAGAAGGTGGGCACACACACCATTGTCTCCTCAAGTTTTACTTATAAAACTCTCTGGGAAAATTATTAGAAATTTCAAGAGTACAATCATAAAGCGCTTCTGTGCCTGGGGTGTCACTGGGAAGCCAATCATAACACATTTGTTAAGGAAAGAAGAAAGGAAGTTGCTGTGACAGGAGGCCTGAGAAGGACAGCTGGGGTTTCATCCAGTGGACTACAGAAACACTTAGCAGATCAGGCAAGAGTCTAAGCCTCTTCTGCTGGCCAGGCCTCTTTGTTATGGGTCTGTCTGTCTGTCTGTCTGTCAGAGCTCATCCTGAGCAGTTGTCCCTCTCTGTCTTGATAGAGAATTAGCTAGAGGTCTCTAAGTTCACCGAAGAAACCAGAAAATATCCAAACTGGATCAGAGAAAAGAAAAACAGAAACCCTTCTCTGGTCCCTCTGTCTTCTTCCAACACGCTCCACACATATTACCGGTCGTCCCAGATCAGCTCTCTTGGCCACACAGGTAGCAGGAACCAAGACTCAGATGGTACTATAAACTGAATCAAGTTAATATGAGGTCACTGAGATGGGCCCAAAAGCTCATTGGCTGGTCCTTATTTTAAAGGGGGGTTGGGGCAGGGATCTGGATGCTGAAACAGACAAAATACAATGTGAACAGCTAAGGAGGAAATGGCTATCTGTGAATTAAGAAGCAGCTTAGGCTACCAGAAACTTGGAGAGTGGGCTGAAATAGATCCTCCCCTGGAAACTTCTGAGGGAATATGACCCTGCTGGCACCTGACAGCACACTTCTGCCCTCTAAATCTGTGTTATTTTAAGCAACCAATTAGTGGCACTTAGCTATAGCATCTTTATACACAAGATTACAGTGACAAGGCTAGAAGACTTATTGAGTTTCAGATGCCTTGAAATAGACATTTATTTATACATGAATGTGTATTGTTTTAAAAGAACAAGGGGAGAAGGTGTAAGAAGTGGTAAGATTGTGAGTAATTTTTACTTTATTTTAAACACACAGAACTTGAAATTTTGAATCTCTGGCTTCTGGGATCTCTTGATCCCTTCAGTCCTTGGTTTTTGCTTTATCTTGTTTGTCATTCAGGATTTATTTTATGTGCATTGGTGTTTTGCCTGCATGTATGTCTGTGTAAGGGTCCCATACCCCTGGAACTGGAGTTACAGACAGCTGTGAGCTATTATGTGCATGCTGGGATTGAACATGGGTCCTCTGGAAGAGCAGCCAATGCTCTTATCCACTGAGCCATCTCCCTAGCCCCCATATCAGTGCTTCTTAAATCTGTCCTTAGCTCTGGGCCCACATGCTCAGATGCCAGATGGACATGTTTATTTGAATGTTCCAAAATTATCTTGAGCTCAACATACTCAAACCAGAACTTGTTATCTTTCTATTTCAAAACTGTCCTTTCTTTGAAACACATCACCTCAGATAATACACTCAGAGATGTCAGATCACCAGCCCTCAAGGGTTACCTAATCTTTCACTGCCACAGTAAATATCTTAGGATGCCCTGCCATTTTCTTTAAGTCTCCCTGTATGTTCTTCCACCATCTCATCTCTGAGCCCAGGGATGCTATGTTTGAATTCCTAATGGTCTCTCATAATCTCCTGGGTCTTCTTCCTTCAGAGGAAGTTGCCTGCCACAGCCACCTCCTGCCATTAGGACACCATTTATTTACAAAAATGGAAATCTCAGTGGGTCATCACTTCCTACTTACCATAGGATACAGACCAACATCCTCGGTGTGACTTACATCCTCACACCACCCCCTTTTGTCAGTTCATCTGCAGCAATTCCTCACAAGCATATTGTACTCCAGAACAAAGAGAAAAGAAGGACAGAAACCACTCTCCAAGTGTGGCTGGATAGACTTACATCTGTTCTTCCCTCTCCACAGAATGTTCCTCCTCACCCTCTGTTCTCAGATTGAACACGATACTGAAATTATCTGAAGATTTATATGTGTCTTCCTATCACCAGTATTAGACAACTACATAGATAAAACTAACAGCATACTCCTGTTGTGACCTTCCTCTGTAAATTGTCTTTTCTAGGACACAGTGGGGGTCTTTTTTTTTTTTTAAGAATTATTTGTTTATTTTGTGTCTATGAATACACTGTTGCTCTCTTCAGACACACCAGAAGAGGGCATCAGATCCCATTACAGATGGTTGTGAGCCACCATGTAGTTGCTGGAAATTGAACTCAGAACCTCCAGAAGAGTCAATACTCTTAACCAATGAGCCATCTCCCCAGCCCGACACAGTGAGTTTTTAAAGAAGGATCCATAACCATCCAACTTCACATATCTGGGAACAAAGTCATGGCCTGCTCAGATTATGTTCAACAGATATTTTTTTGAAAGAATGGAGAGAACGTAATCAGGCAGGCTATGCTGATTCTAGCACATCTTAGATATCAAAAAAAGGAAACAAAAAATTCTGATAGAATTTCAATATAATCCCACAGAGAATGTGTGGAATCATTGCAAAATAGTTGTTCTAGAGAAATTTACAAGGGGCTGGAGAGACATCTCAACAGTTAAGGGTACTGGCTGCTCTTTCAGAGAACCCAGGTTCAATTCCCAGCACCTACACACTGATTCACAAGCATCTGCAACTCCAGCTTCAAGGGACCAACATTTTCCTGTAGCCTCCTCGGGTACCAGGCAAGCACGTGGTGTACAGACCTGCAGTATGCAGATGCGCATCTAGGCAAGCCCCCAGTCTCCAAGGTAGGCTCTCCCGCCACAAAAGGATATCCAGATATAGTGGCAAATGCCTTTAATCCCTGCACTTTGGAAGCATAGGCAAGCATGTGAGTTCTAGGGCAGCCTGGTCTACATAGTAAGCTCCAGAACAGCCTGGACCACATTGAAAGACTCTATCTGAAAAATATCAACAACAGCAAAAAAAGGAGAGATGGAGGCCTGAAGATTAGGAAGTTCAAAGCCACCCTTGACTGCATAAAGAATTTGATACCATCCAGGGCTAAAGTGACATTCTACTCCCAAAAGCCAATAATGATGGTAGTAGTAACAACAACTCCAGGATTCAAACAAAGAGAAAAGATTATTAAAGAAGCCAACATAAGTGCACAGAAAACTCAGACAAGTGCATGCTGAAAGCCATGCAGGGAATATGTAGAAAATGACATCTGTAGCCAAGAGTAAATGTGAAATCTTCATCTGAAAAGGTGAAAATGTAATGTCCCTTCAAATGCATCCATGATGCACCATGCGGACACACGACTGTAAAATACTTATGCTTCAAAGAATAAAACTTTGGAGAGAACCCAAGCATTATTATCAGTAAGGGAGTTTCATGTGTGCAGAGTTTCCTTGTCCTAATAGTCTCATAAAGAATTACAGTCTGCACCAACCAAGGAGTGTACCTGGAGGGATCCATGGCTCCAGATACATATGTGGCAGAAGATAGCCTTCCCTGACAGCAATGAGGGGAGGCCCTTGGTCCCAGGGAGGTTTGATGCCCCAGTGTAGGGGGATGCTGGAACGGTGAGGCAGGAAAGGGTGGGTGAGTGGGGGAACACCTTCATACAGGCAAAGGGAAGGGGGGAAAGGGCAGATGTGGGATGGGAGTTTGGTGGAGGGGTAACCAGAAAGTGGAATATCATTTGAGATGTAAACAAATGAAATGATTAATGAGAGAAAGAAAGAAAGAAAGAAAGAAAGAAAGAAAGAAAGCCAAATAGAAAAAAATAAGTAGTAGAAGTCAAATGCTTACCTCCTTTCAGAGCTTTACAAAAAGAATAATCATCATCATATCCATGGCAAACAATTTCCTTGCGCTTTGGCAACTCTATGGAGTTGACATTGATGAATAGGTTGAAATATAAATTTTTTAAGTTTCCTCCTTAGAAAGAAAAAAATATTCCATTAAATCCCTCCAGTCAAATGTTCTTTGACACTGAGTATTTATTGTGCCCTTAGTGGGTGCCTTGTACTTTTCTCCTATATGCCTCACTTGATCATCACAGCTGTCTATGAAGTGTTAATATCCTTATTACAAAGATAAAAATTAGCCAGGCAGTGGTGGTGCACGCCTTTAATCCCAGCACTTGGGAGGCAGAGGCAGGCAGATTTCTGAGTTCGAGGCCAGCCTGGTCCACAGAGTGAGTTCCAGGACAGCCAGGGCTACACAGAGAAACCCTGTCTCCAAAAACAAACAACAAACAAAACAAAGATAAAATTAAAGTTCGAAGAAGGCAATTTTGTAGCAAAATTGAGTGTTTCACAGTGACAGCTATGTAAAACACCCGCTCCCCCAAAACTACAAAAAAAAAAAAGAAAAAAGAAAAGAAAAAAGAAAAAAAACAGAAATACTTAGAGCTTGATCATGAAAACTTGCAAAGTCGTAAGATTTTCGGTTTTGATGAGCATACTCAGAAAACTCAAAGGACAGAAAGAGGAGACTGGGAGTTATCAGCTCAACACCTTTTGAAGTACGGATGAACATTTTCTAAAGAACAGAATTAAAGACCAAGTGTGGTGGCACATTCCTTTAATCCCAGCATTCCAGAGGCACAGGCAGGCAGGTCTCTCTGAATTGAAGGCTAGCCTGGTCTACATAAAGAAATCATGGCTCAAAAATAAACAAACAAGATGAGCAAAGCAGGAGGCTCACAAGTCCAACATCTGTCTGGGCTACAGACAGGCTCAAGGCAACTCCTTGGTAATATAGATCCTGTCACAAAATATAAAGTAAAAAGAATTTATTACATAGGTCAGAGGTGCAGCACTTGCCATAGTAAGTAGAAATCCCTGATTTCAATTCTCAGTAATAAGATAGACAGATGGAGAGATGATACATAGACAGATGATAGAGAATCTCAGTAAAAACACATTTTCCTGATTCTCCAGAATTATTCATTTGTCCCAAAGGGAAAAGATACGTGTGTGTGTGTGTGTGTGTGTGTGTGTGTGTGTGTGTGTGTGTTATACATATTATATGTATGTGATATATGATTATGATATATATTATATTAGACAGGGTCTCATTGTGTACCCTTGGCTGGCCTGGAAACCACTAGGTAGATCAGCTTAGCTTCCAATTTACTCAAAAGCAACTTTCTGGTCTCCCAGCTGTCTTTGAGGCTGTTTCTCCCACCTTCTTTCTGCTTTTCCCAACACCTCTGACTCCTCTTTATGTCACTGATTCTTCTTTCTCAGGATTCATCTTCAGTTCTCAGTTTTCACCATGAACATTCTCCCTGGCTTTAGGTGCCATGTGATCATATATTTATTCTACACCTTTAATCAAATGTTTTTCAGTTCCCTCACAGAAAAAACTCAAATGTGAGTTTCTCAGCAGCAGCAGCAGCAAACTGGCGTTACAGGAGTCTTTCTGGAAAAAGTGCTCTGACACCAATGAGAATAGAGGAGAGCTGTCACCAATGGACGGCAGCCAGCACAGCTCATGAAAGGCTTTGATCCTGGTTCCCATTTGCATCCCCATTTTATACCTTAAAGCCACAAGCTGAGGTGGGCAAGCAAGCAAGAAGCACATGTGCCAGTCAGAAGGTTGTTAAAGGCAACAACCAATTATTTCAGCTATTCTCCATGTTATCCTGTTTCAGCAACTAAAGGAAGCAACTAAAGTCGTGCTTGGCCAAAAGGCAGGACAAGCAACCCTTTAAATAAATCACTAAATAAATCAATAAGTTTGTATCTAATAGTTGATCTTTTCTACTTTCTACTTTAGTCCACTTCACTGGCAGTAGAACCCTTCTGCTACTGAATATCACCAGCCTCCTTTTAATTCGTACTACCACAGCGTCAGCAGAGGCACATATTGATCCAAGCCCATGTTTTCTCCACATTCCTGCTTCCTGGATTAGGTATGGAAAAGGCTACTATGGAACAGTTAATCTTTTAAAAAAGAAATTGGTCTATGGACTCTCTAAAAGCAAGATTTATATATGTATGAATGGAAGAGCTGATTTTATAAGGAATTCATGAGACACAGAGTTAAAGTTGTATGTTGCACGCACATCAGACAGCACTGCTATTCTGTGTGACAATCTCCATGAGGCCCAGCATGATTCAAGTCTTCAGTGACTCCATGAAAGGAAGTTCTGCTTTGATACCTCAGTGGTTTCTATCTTGAGACGCCTTTGGCCTTGGAAATGACCATGGTCACATTATCAACAATGATTATAATGACATGCCATTTCTGAGACTTAGCTGGTCAAGGACAGCAACATGAGTGTTAGAGTAGGAGATGAGAAATAGTGGCCATCATGAGGGAACAAAAGGAAGTATTTTTGAGCTTGCTTAGGGTAACTCCAGGAGCTGCCAGAAATAACACTGAAGGGACTTATTACACAGAATTGTTTGTCAATTTGTTTCTATTATACAAAGACTCGATCGTAACCCTGAGAAGTACCAAATATATAATTTCTATTCCTATTCAATTGTTGACTCAAGCTTATAATTATAGCTCTTATTAAATTTAGGTAGAAACAGAACCATAAAAAGAAAAAAAAAGAAACAGATCCATAAAAAAAATGAGCCTGGTTTTATGAATGGACTCCCTACTTTATAGAGATTATAGTAAATTCTAGGTATCGTAATTGTGAAGTACTTTAAGAAAATGACTAAACAATTATTTTATTACTTGATATTTTGTTACTGGATTAGTATACATTATTATGTGATATTCAATGAATAACTAACATATTTGTGACAGCAATGAAGGTTTATCACTCAAATTTCCTGCTAAAGAAACTGTAGTAAGGAGGTGGTTGGCAGACTGTCCATCACTGCAGAAGCTTAGATCTATTTAGCACTCAACTACAGCCTTACACTTGGACAAGCTGACCCTGAAATGATCAAACACCTCAGTGGCCCTTGACACAAGCTGTTCTTGTAAGTTTGTTTCTAAGTGGCTGATTGACTGATTGGTTGATCAATCGATTGATTGATTTTGAGACAGGGTCTCACTACGTAGCCTTGACTGGCCTAGAACTCTTATGTAGACCAGGCTGGCCTCAAACTCACAGAGATCCTCCTCCTTCTGATTCCCAAGTGCTGGGATTAAAGGTGTGAGCCACCACATCCAGCTCCTGATTTTTTTTTTAATTAAAAAAAATTGTTTTATTTTATTTTTCGGTATGTTTTGATGTTTTTTCTATGTTTGTGAACCACTTGCCTGCCTGGTACCTCAAAGGCCAGAAGAGGGCATTCATCTCCTGGAACTGGAGGTACAGACAGTTCTTAGTGACCATGTATGTGCTGGGACTCAAACTCAGATCCTCTGCAAGAGCAGCTAACGTGCCTAACCACTGAGTCAGCTCTCTAGGCCCCATTGATTGACTTTTAAGTCTTTATATGTATGTCTGTGTGAGAGAACTCATATGTGTGTGCAAGTGCCCGCAGATACCTGAGGAGATCAGACCTTGGACCTGCAGCTACATGAGGTTGTGAGGGGCTCCAAATGGGTCTTCGGAACTGAACTCTGTTACACAGAAGAACAACAAGTACTCTTAATTATTACGACACAGCTCCAACCCCTGCCTTGAAACACAACAGGCAATCTTTATACTGTGGAATCCTCGCTGACTTAGCTGAGAGTCGCTCAGGCCCATTTTGGATTGATGATCATGGTAAGCTTCTTCCATTTCCCTTTTCTTTTTTGGTTGGTTGGCTAATGGGTTAAGTGAGTGGGTTCTTATGGTTCTTTTTTAGTTTGAAACATGGCCTTGCCAGATAGTACAGGCCAGCCTCAAGCTCATGAATTCAAACAATCCTCCTGCTTCTGTCCCATGTGACTGCAAGGACTGAACACCATGTTGGCTCCTTCTACTTTTCAAAGGCATCAGACCTGCACAACAGTCTGAACTTCTGCAATGTCTAATTTGTTTAGTTCCTTCTTGGGCTCTGCCTTTCAGAGAACCCTGAGTGCTGATGTAGCAGCAGCAGCAGCAGTAGCAGCAGTATTTGGATCTGGAAATACAGCTTTTTTTTTTAAAGAGGAAAGGATCCATCTGAAAGTGAGATCACTTACTGTGTAAATCATCACTCGCTAACACCTGAGGATAAGGCACACCAGAGACTGGAGACAATAAAAGAGAAATTGCAGAGCCATAACTGGGTCAAAATTTCTACTGTTTTGTTTGCTCTTGGCCAAGAAAGCAGAACAAGCAGAGCTGAATCATCTTGTGCTCTGCAGCCACAGAGGCTTCGGCCTGTCATTTCACCCGTCCAAGTTACCCTAAAGATCTGTCTCTTCTGCTGAACGGGCAGATTCTTGTAGGGTGGTTCACAAGCCAAGACTTTACCAGTGAGCTACACTCCATCCCCATGACTTGTATGTACTTCTACTTCATAGAATCTCTAGACTCTTCTCCCTGCCCCTCTTTAGGGCTTAACACTTTTTTTTTTTTATTATTTTTTTCAGCTGTCCTGACAGAATCATCCTAATGACTGAACAAGTACTGGGCCAGTGTATCAAAGAAAAAATTCTACATTTAGATTTAAGGAAACTAACAGCCAATCTTGTTTATCATCCTTAAGTTCTTCTCTCTCTCTCTCTCTCTCTCTCTCTCTCTCTCTCTCTCTCTCTCTCAAGACAGAGTCTCACTATGTAGCTTTGGCTGTCCTTGAACTCACTATATAATCAAGGTAGGTCTTGAACTCACAGAGGTCCACCTGCTTCTGGCCAAGAGCTGGGACTAAAGGCGTGTGCCACCAACTCAGCTTCGTTCTCAAATTCTCAACTGCTTTTTTTTTTTTCTTATAAAATGGACATCTACAACCTGAGGAAGAAGGAATGTTTCTTTAAGCTTACCTACATGATACTGGGCATAGTGGGATAGACATATAACCCAGGTCTTGGGAGGCAGAGGCAGGAAGATTTTTACAAGTCCAAGGCCAATTTGGGCTATGTAGTAAGCTTTATGTAGTTTGGGCTACTTAGTGACATCTTTCTCATAGGGCAGAAGGAAAGAGGAGAACAACAAAATATTGTTATTAAGGGCTTGGGAGATGACTCAGTGGTTAAGAGTGTTCTTCTAAAGATCCAAGTTCAGTGCCCAGCATTCATATTGGGCAGCTCACATCCACCTATCTGTAACTCCAGCTCCATAGAATCTAACGCTACACCCTGGCCTCCATAGGTATCTACACATAGGGCAAACATACACAGAGATAGACACATATCCACATAAGTAAAATAATAAAAACATGTCATTTATGAAAGCCCATTATTTATAATGATAGCACTTTGCAAGATATAAAACATGCTATGCTGAAAATGGAGACCATAGTGCTAAGGATAAGAATTCATTTCCTGGGAGCCAGACGTGGCAGTTCACGCCTTTAAACCTATGACTCAGGAGGCAGAGCAAGCTGCTCTGTGAGTATGAGGCCAGCCTGGTCTACATAGTGAGTTCCAGGACAGCCAGTGCTACAAAATGAGATGCTCTTTCCCCCTCCCTCTGAAAAAAATCTTAAGAATTCATTTTCTGAACCCCAGGGCTTAGAGGAAGCAAGCAGCATTGGCTGGCTAATGGGAGAGGATGAGCATTTGTATTTTCACACCCATCATTGGTCTTCACATGCTGAGAAGTTATGAAACACAGAGAGGGAAACGGAATAGAACACGAAGTAAACACAGCGTCTTCTCTCATGCCATCACCACTATCTGTTTTCTAGAAAGAACCTCCCTCTCATGCTAGAGATTGAATGGAAGGCATCACACATACATGCAAGACCACATCCCCCAAGGAGGTCATCTTTAAGAGTAAAGAGTCCTGGGGATGGAAAGATGGTTCAGTGTGTAACAGTGCTTGCTGTTCTCAAGAGCACTGGGGCAGCAGAGGCAGGCGGATTTCTGAGTTCGAGGCCAGCCTGGTCTACAGAGTGAGTTCCAGGACAGCCAGGGCTACACAGAGAAACCCTGTCTCGAAAAAAAAAAAAAAAAAAAGCACTGGGGTTGGTTTCCCATAACTCGCACCAGACAGCTCATAACTACCTGTAACTCCAGCCCTAAGAAAGCCAAGAGCATCTTCTGGCCTCCTCAGGTACTCACACTCACATGAGCACGCTCACATGCACGCGCATGAACACACACCCACACACAAATTCTGGGGTCAGGAGGGAGGGAAGGAAAGAGGAAGTGAGGGGGGAATAAAAATTAAAAACAATAAAAAATACTGGCTTGCTCATATACAGATTCTCCAATAAAAACTCAATTACTTCTCACCAGCTGAGTAGCTAACAGCTGACAACAGCCACCCATTATTAGTAGGCTCAAATTATTCTCATTTCTATCTTATATCTGTGTAAAACCATATGACTGAGTTGTAGAATACAGCAAAAATGACAGCATCACGTTCTTGTTCAAGCCATATAACACTCTTTCATCTTGTTACCCTTGCCAGCTTAGAGGAAGCAACCAGCTAAAGTAATAAGTCCCAATGTAGCCAATAGCCAGAATCCAGAAACTGAATACTGAATACTGCCGACAACCATGTGAACTGAGAAACAGCTCCTCTACAATCTGATCACAATCTCTATCATATCTTTATGAGGGACCCTGAATGACGTGGGTAAGCCATGCCCAGGCTACCATCCCACAAAGGCAATAGATATGTGTGTTGTTAAACCTAAGACTAAGACTGTGATAACTTATAACACAGCAATAGATAACAAACATATTTGGAATAGAATTATTCTGAATTTCTGGAGTCCTTTATAGCTCACTACAAGAATGACAGTTTGTACTTACTTGGAATGAGCGCAACATGCAAAACTCCATCAGTTCCCCGCAATCTTATACAGGGCTCAGAACTAATTGAAATAGGGAATTTCATGTGATCTAAAAGGAATAAAGAAAATGTTACTATATAAAGAACTTTCAATACATATAGCATTCTGAATGTCAGCCCCAAAAGATGCTTTTTTACTAAAATTTTATAATGAGAACAAATGAAGATTGATAAAAATATCTCTCTAGAAGAATGACAGTTGCAGTATAAGTTGAATATGAAGACCTAGGTTTATCTCCACAAGTAAGTGCAAATTCCATGTGAAAAAAGCCAGAAAGTAATAAAAAGACTCCAGTACCTGCAAACATACAAAGTGTACTCATTAGTATCACTACAAAGATTCAGGACATCGTCTCTTCAGTGGCCCTTACCCGAATACCACCACACAATTAGGAAGTAGCTTCTCATCTCTCTGTTTCACCTACATGCCCAGAACCCTAACCCTTCCAATCTAGCTCACCAATCTAGCTCCAGGCTGTGCATCTTGGAATTCTAATAGGCTCATACAGTCTAGCTGCTCAGGGAAGAAGGAAAGCAGAAGTCTGAGCTGGTAGACACTATTTCCTGGTTCTCCACTCTGCTTAGCATAGGCAAAGATGGAAGCTCCCAAATCTCAGCTTTTCATAGTAAGAGAAAAAACTGACATAGTCTTTTAGCACCTCCAGTTCTCCAAGGAATCCAGAAATAATTAATACCCATCTCACTAGTCCTGGAATTCTGATGAGTGTGGATTAAACAGTCTATCTTCCTGGGGTAGATGTTGAGAGATGGTGGATGCCTGTTCAGAATAAATTCAAGTTGGGTAAGGGATGTAGCTCAATGCTAAAATGCATGCTTAGACATGTGCAATTCAGGCCCAAGCACCACTAAATAAATTAATGTATGAAAAGTAAGCAAGTACGTCAGCCAGATTCTTTAGGATAAACTACATATTTGTTCATTTTTGTTTTGTGACACAAGAGCTTATTCTCTAGCCCATGCTGGCCTAAGCACTCACTATGTAGACCAGGCTGGCCTCAAAATTGCAATAGTCTTCCTACCTAAACCTAATGAGTGCTAGAATTAGAAGCATGAAACATTGCCGAACCCAAGTAAAATTTTAATGGCCATTAAATGGTTACCATATAAGCCAGATGTGGTGGTATGTGCTGTACTCTTAGCACCCAGGGGCTGAGTTGGGAGAATACCCATGAATTTTAAGGCTAGTCTGGGCTAGACTGTACTACAGAGTAAGTTCTAGGTCAGCTTGGTTTACAGTGAAACCCTGCTTCAAAAAACAAACAACAAAAAAAATTTCCCACTTTTTAATGCTATTACAGTTACAGATAGATTTTGACATGATTTTGGCTGAAAATTTACATTCAACAACCATAGCACCTCTTCAGCTAGCCAAAGGGAATCCAAATGTGTCAAAATCTTCATTTTGTATTCCAGATCAGTCCAAAATAAATGTTTCACATTTAAGTCCCCCAGGCTAGCCACTTGTTAAGACAAGCCAAAATAACTACGCCTGCCTGAAGAAGAATTCTCTAGTCTCCATTTTGGAACTCATACTCACAGTCAGGACTGACCTAGGTATCACTGGCAACAATACTCAAGTACCAATTCTACAGAAATTAATGCTTTCCATAGGGTGTTATTTTTGTCTTCCTGGACTCTCCCAGGCAGAGGACTGGTAACGCTCTGTTATGGGCACATGCCATAGGGTAAAGAGCCCTTGTTGCTTTCTTCCCACCTGGGTCAGTGGATTCTGGAGCAGGTCCACAGAATTTACTGGTATTACAGAGCTAAGGGTCAAATTCTACCTCTGAAAGTCTCATCAAAAGTCAAAGGCACACAGATATATGCCAGGTGTGGTATCCCATGTCTTTACCTCCAGCACTCAGGAGGCAGAGAGAGACAGGTCTCTGTGTGTTTGAGGCAAGCCTGATCTACATACCAAATTCCATAACAGCCAGGGCTACATAGAGAGACTCTATCTCAAAAAATAACCAACCAATCAAATGTTGGGCTCCAGGAGTTGCCTCACAAACCACATGAACACTGATCTCAGACAAATGGAAATAGTTTACTGAGCATATGACTCAGGACTGATCAATCAGAGCCACAGGCCAGACTTAGGAGCTGACTGCAACATCTTGTCAAGATCCTATAGGGCTTTTTAAGCCTGAGTTCTACAGACGTCTGTGCCAACTTGTTCCACCAATTAGGATTCAGGGGGATTTCCTTAGGCCCATGTCTTTGTTGTACACTTATGCTGCTCCTCTTTGTTGTGGGTATCCTGTGGCAGGGGACATGCCTTGTCTAACACTCATGTCTTAACTTCCCAGCCAGTATGTCAGCTACCCATATGCATGTCTCCTTCTACCAAATAGGATATCAGTTCCCAGGGAGGTCTTGGGAACTTAAACTTTATTCGACCCTTACTCAAAATGGAAATAGGTGCAGGTATTCCTCATGTTGGGATCCATCCCAGGGTATCTTATAAAAGCAAATACTAGAAAAGATTATACACCAGTTCAGGAAGTGCTGCTGGGTGGTTGGTTCAGTTCCAAGTTTATTGTGGCTAATTATACAAAACAGTTCTAGCTGACTTCTATTGTGATTGGTTTCCAAGAACACTAAAGCACAGAACATCCTAGTAACAGCATATGAGAAAGTTTCCTTATAATATTAGTAACGACACAACATGGCAGGCTAGACAGGTACCAGTTACCTAGGCCTGAATATTTTACCTAGGCCTTAACAAAGACAGCTAAATTGTTAATAAAAGAATAAAGCCCCTCAGGGCTAGAGAGATGGCTCAGCAGTTAAAAGCATTGACTGCTTTTCAGAGGTCCTAAGTTCAATTCCCAGCAGCCATGGCTACTATACTGTCCTTATATACATAAAATAAATAATTATTTTTTCAAAAAGAGTAAAACAGAATAATAGTTATTATACATTATTAATTAAGCATATGAAGAGTCACCATGTAATACCAAAAGAGGGAGGCTAGGGACTACACAGGGGCCTCCATGGTTAAGGCACTAGCAGAGGACCCAGATTCAACTCCTACCGCCCATATCAGGCAGTTCCAGGGAATCTGACACCCTCTTCTGGCTTCTGAGGGCATCAGCATATACAATATACAGGTAGGGAAACACACACACAAACACACACACACACACACAAGCACACAACAGGGGGCCAAAAGGGAGAGGAAAACAGAGGCTAGCAGACTGAGGACCTTCCTAATGCCCCAGAGGTGAATAGTTATTAGCGCTGGTCAGAGTGTTCCACAAGCCAGTCCCCCAAAATAACCAATTTGAAATGCAGGAGTCCTCAAAGTACATTTATAAATTCCCTGCTCCACTTCCAGACAATTAGGCTATGATCTTGCTTTTCATAGAACTGGCATTTTAGAAGGCACTACCTTTCAAACATCCAGACATTCCTAGAGGGGGCAGAAATTGGACATCCAACCAACTGAGCAACAGTAAGAGGAAACAGATTGAAACAACTCTCAAGTCCTGTGCTAGGTCTTCTGCTCTCAGGCATTTGCCAATGAGGAGTTGTAGTGTGGCAACAGCATTAGCTATGATCCAACGGCACCAGAGTTTAGTTCAGCTGAAAAATATCTGCAGCTCTAGCACTGGAGAGGTCGAGGCAACAGAGAGCATGAGTTTGAGACCAGCATAGGCTATACAGTCAGTTCCAGGCAGCCTGTGATACAAAATAAAGCTCTGTCTCAAAAAGTAAGCAAATAACTCAAAAGGCAGAGGCATGTGTATCTATCTTTATGAGTTCCCGGCCAGCCAATGCTATATACTTATGCCTTGGCTGAAAAAATAATAAAATAAGCTGGGTGTGGCAACACATATCTTTAATCCCAGGAGGTAGAGACAGGCAGATCTCTGTGATTTCCAGCCCAGTCTGCTCTATGCAGTGAATTCCGGGCCAGTTGCAGCAATATAGAGAGACCCTGTCTCGAAACAGATTTCAATATAGAGTAATAATTACTGCATAAATCCAAAATCATTATAAAAATCATTGTCAAGTAACTCACGCAGTGAATTCTAAAATCACTTTCATTTTGCAAATTAAAAAAAAAAAAAGTGAGGCAAAGAATGTCTAAGTACATTGCTCAAGATCACACGGTTAGTGAGGAAGAAAGACGCTTCCAAGAGCCCTCTAGGACCACAGGCTGGAGCTGAAACCCCACCAGGAAGCGTTATGACTTAGGTTCCTCAGGTGGAACCAGTTTGTGTCGAGGCTGGGACTCAGAAGCAAACAATTCTACTAGAACTCAGAAGAACCTGAAACTGGGCTCAGAGTGGAGAGAGCTTAACCACAGTCAGCAACAGAAGTAAAAGCAATTCAGAGCTCTAGGGAGGACGAGGGGGCGGGGGGCGGGGGGGGGGCGCGAGAGCCGCATCCGGAAGTGGTCGGTCTTGCTCCTCTCCACCTCCCCACCCCACCCCCACCCCAGACCGCAGCCGCCGCACAGCTGGAGCAGCATTCCTGCCTGCGCTCCAGTTTCAGGTTCACTGAAAACTTTCTCTCAAAATAATTGGTGCCACAGTTATTTGTTGCCGGGCCACTTACCACAATAACGGTAGGAAATAATTGCATCGGAGGAGTTGCAGATCCACTGTTGCTTCTCAGATTCAGTAAATATGGGAGAAAGCAGCGTCGAAAAGAGAATAAACGGCAACATGATTTAGTATCTCCGATACTTTAAACTCGCCAGGAAGATCATCGGACTAACAGTAAGGAGGAAAGATTTAACTTAGTCACCAGTCATGTGATTTTGAAGTTCCCATCCAACTGTTTCCTCTTTTTATTTGCATGTGTGACTGTTTGTGCATCTGTTTTAATATCTGAGCACTTCCTGCAAACCAAGAGAAGAAAAAAATGACTTAGAATATACTATTTCTGAGTACTTAATGTAAATTAAAGTATCCAGCACTTTAAAACATAGCAAAATTTCAGTGAGATCAAGTAGCTGCCTTACAGGAAACCCTTACTTAAAAGAAAGTCCACTAGCTGTAGTGCATATACCTTTAAAACCCAGCACTTGAGAATTCGAGGTTTTCCTGCTCTAAATAGTGGGTTCCAGGACAGCCAGAACTATATGGTGAGACCTTGTCTCATGGAAAGAA